TTCCGGCTCAGAGGTGCCCTTGGCTAAGCTGCCACTTGGCAGGGCTTGGAGCAACCCGGGATAGTGGAAGGTGTCCCTGCCCATGGCAGAGGGTGGCACTGGATGAGCTTTAAGGTCCCTCCTGACTCAAACCACTCTATGACAACCAGGGTGAGATGGGGGGCCCTAAAGGTGCAGGCTGTGGGGACAGCGAGCAGAGCATCCTTGGAGACACCTCTCCCAAAAAAACCAGGGTGATTTGGGGGTTCCCAAAAGGCACAGGCTGTGGGGATGGTGAGTGGGGCATCCTCCAACCCTGACGCCTCTCCCATGAAAACCCTCATCCCTGGAAGTGTTCAAGGCCAGGCTGGACAGGGCTTAGAGCAACCTGGTCTGGTGGGAGGTGTCCCTGCCCACAGCAGGGGGTGGGACTGGATGAGCTTTAAGGTCCCTTTCAACCCAAGCCACTCTGGGATTCTGGAATTCCAAGTACTGACAGTATTTCACTCAGCATGTCCCTCATTATTTCCATGATCCTCCCAAGGCAAGAGCCCACCAACGGGCTGAACTTCCACCCAGCTGTGCCAAGCAGACTGCAGAAGACCTTAGAGCCTGGTCTTCAAGGTCCCTTCAAGAGATTGGTCTCTATCTTAATTCAGTCTGAATCAAGACTCTTTCCCCTCCCGCTCACCCGAATCCCCCTGCACAGCAGGGAATGAACACCCCCCACCACGCCTTGGACTCACCGTCATCAGCTCCTTCTGGAAAGATTTCCTCTCCTTGTTCTCCGTGCTGTTGCAGTCTTCCTTCAGCTTCTCCAGGACGGAGGCCACCCTCTCGGGCTCACTGTCCAACTCAGCCCGGCAGAAGAACGTGAGTGGCAAGTTGGAGTAGCCCAGGGCGTCGGCGAAGGACCTCCAGCTGCTGAGGTTCTCCATCAGCAGAGTCCTCACCGAGGCGTAGATGTAGGTCAGGAACTTGCAGGGCCTCAGGATCTGCTCCAGCAACAGGCTGGTGGTGAGATCTGGCCCAGAGAAGTAGCTGGGCTTGACCTTCCCAACCACCAGCACGTTTTTGGTGTGCACGAGGCCAATTTTGCCCTGGTAGTAGCCAATGTACCACTCCTTGGTCCACAGCTGGCCTTTCAACCTGATCTTCTCCTCACTGAGGAGGGCTATGACATCTCCTTTCTTGTACTCCAGCAAATAGTGGTTCTTGCTCTGCCTCACCACCGTCTTTAGCAGCTTGCCGTACTTGAGGCTCAGCACCGGCCGGTCCTGAAAAACCGGATACTTGGCGGTGGCAGCCAGCGGTGACAGGATGATCTTCCCAACCTCATTCTTCTTGAGGAACCGCCTCTGCCCCATCGGCTTGATGGCACTTTTCGGAGGCGGCTGTGGCGTCTGGACGCAGAATTGGGTCAAAATGGCATCCTGGTCATCCTTGACCTGTATCCTCAGCGTGAAGTCCGAGAGCTCGTTGGGGTCGTGGGACGCGATGGGGAAGATGAGGCGGCTCACCTTGCCCAGCTTCATCTGGAAGCCCCGGACGACCTTGGCTTGTTCGCTGGCCTTCACCTCGTAGTTGGTCATGTTGGAGAACATGCAGAGCTTGAGGTCCTGAGGCCGGGACAGGGCAAACTGGTGCTTCCCCCAGAGCTGGAGGGCGACGGGGGCCGGGCTGTGGGATTGCCTGGTGACCTCGTTCACCAGGAGGGTCTTGGGGGCACACTCGTGCCCAAACATGGCCACCACGGTTTTGAAGGAAGGGTGGATGTGTTTGGGGCCATAGACGCCCACCGTGATCTTCTTGCTGATGTAATCCCAGACGGTGGAAGGGTACAGGATGTTCTGCCCTTGGGCCACGGCTGCGATGTACATGCAAGGCTCCAGGTTCTCCAGCTGCACCTGGATCGTGTCCCCATAGGAATAGCTCAGCTGCAGGGGTGTGTACGGCCCCTCCTTCATGTCGCTCCGCAGGCACTGCAGTCCCACCAAACTCTTGCTCGTGATGTCATTCTTGACCTCCGCCGACACCTTCATCTCCAGGATGATGAAGGTTTTCACCTCCATGTTGCTGAGTTTGATCTGCAGGACGGGGCTGATGGTGCTGCACTTGTCGCTGTTGAGCTCCAGCGGCGGATCCAGCATGGCCTTCATGGAGATCTGCTGCGTCTCCCCGGGGCACACGTGGCCCTCGGGCACGTGGATGCTGATGTTGGTGTCTGGCAGCTGAACAGCCCCACCAGAGCTGTCCAGCTTGCACACGATGTTGGTCTCCACCGGCTGCGTCTGACCCCAGCCAGGATTCTGACCGAGCAAATCCAAGTCGTGGCAAGACCGAGCCAGCTTCCTGTGGTTCAGCCACGCTGTCCTAAAGTCCTCTCGGCTCTGGAACTGCTCAGGGGTGGGAGACTTCAAACCACTGAAGAAACCCGACGATGCCGGAGCGTCTGACTTGGCCTGGAGAACAGACAGTTCAGACAAGCTGTAGGAGCGTTTACTTCTGAAGAAGGGGTTGTCTCTTCTCACAGGCTGGTCCAGATCCAGCCTGTTTGTGGATGGAAACTCATCAAAAATGTTCCCCAGGCTGCTGTTGGCAGCAGAACTGGAGACAGTCGATGCAGGAGCCCCCGTGTCGAAGAGCAGCAAGTCAACGGTGACGCTGGAGTCGGACTCTCTGTCTGAGCCGGGCACCGCGTGCACATTCCCGTTCAGGAACGGGTTTGTCTGGACTCCGTTCAGGAAGGGGTTGTTATTGTGGATTTTCACAGAGTTTCTCTTCGCATCAGTCCACTCCCCAAGCAGGTCCAACTCCTTGGCCCCCTCGTCAGGGCTCTCCAGCAGGTTGTCGATCATGCCGCTGTCCGTCAGGGAGGAGTGGCGGTAGTTCACGGGCTGCACGTAGGAGGAGGGGATGTAGCCCATCTCCGTGGTGTTGTGGGCGTACCACCACTCGCCCCCCGACGTGTCCAGGACATAAAGGTGGTCCCCCTTGGAGAACTTCAACGTGGTGAAATTGGTCGGACAGTAATCCTTGATTGCTACGACTTCCTTCGCGTTCCCGAAGGACGTGGGATTGTCAACCAGCAAGGCACTGGGAGAAGGCACTGCCAAGGCAAGGAGAGAACAGCACTGTGAGGAATGCACAGGGGAGTCACCGCTGACTTGCTACCATTTCTCTCAGGTCACCACCTTTAAGTGGTTACGGTGGTTTTAGAATCACAGAATCACTAAGGCTGGAAAAGCTTCAAGACTGAGTCCAACTCTGAACCCAGCACTGCCCGTTCCACCACTAAACTATGTGCCCGAGTGCCATATCTGTGTGGGTTTTGAACGCTTCCAGCTCCACTAATTCCCTGGGCAATCTCCCAAGCCTGAAAGTGTTTTTTCCGTGTAAAATTTTTCCAGAAAACTCTGCTATTTCTGGTACATTCACATCTCCCTTCCCAAAGGGTTCATGTAAACCCAAGAGAACTTTCAGGACAGCCTAAAAGCCCTCTTGCTTTGCTGTAACCCCTCTCCTGCACATGTGAAACATGTTTCAGTGTAAAAACCAACTAAGGGCACATCATATTCCTAGTTTTTCATGTCACACCAGCCAAAAAACCCAGCATCTCACTTCTTTTGAACAGCAGCTGTATTTCAAAGCTCCTCAACAAAAATCAACTCCATTGGTAGCTTTAGATTAGGTATCAGGAATTCTTCACCACAAGGGTGGGGAGGGGCTGGGATGGAATTCCCGGAGAAGCTGTGGCTGCCCCTAGATCCCTCGAAGTGTGCAAGGCCAGGTTGGACGGGGCTTGGAGCAACCTGGGCTAGTGGAAGGTGTCCCTGCCCGTGGCAGGGGGTGGGATGGGATGAGCTGTAAGGTCCCTTCCAACACAAACCATTCCATGATTCTAAAGAAGGTCCCACAGTTTGAACCCTCCCACAATGCTGTCGTGGTCCTGGCAGCATCTCCAGCATCCCAGCAGGAAGTTGTTTTCCCAGGGGATCCCAATTCCGTCCAGGCTGGGGCGAGCCTACAGTGTCACCCTATTTCTTGGCTTTGCTCTCACTTTTAGGACCCGTTTCTGTACAAAACACTCAAACAAGCTGCAGATGGTGTTACAACAGTGGTTAAATGTGTGTTAGACAGAAAACAAGGAGAGCTGGATTTTCCCCAACACAGAGCTGCAAGAGAACTGGGACAGCACCTTCAACACCTTGAGAGCTCTCTGGAGGGAAAAGGGGATTTAAAAAGCACAGAAAGCCCCTAAAATCCTGGAGATGAAGGAATGGGGGCTCAGACTGCACTTCCCTGCATCCTGCCCCTGGCTGGCAGCACTTCTGGGACATGGAGGTAACAAGGCAAGGGAAGATACAGCTGAGCAAAGAAAAGTCTTCAAATACAGGCTAGAGGTGAAAAATTAAGAGGAGCAGAGCATGGACACATCCTGACCAACTCCTCAGTATCTCCACCAGGAGGCAGGCAAAGTCATGAGGGCATTTATCCAGTGTAACGCTAGATATAAAGTCTATATTGGAATTATTTTGCCAGCCTGGTAGGTTGGAAGCCACTGTTAACTCAGTCACCTGCAGGACAAGGCATTTTTGGTGTCCCCATTCCTTCGGATCAGCCACGTGGCTGTGTTCCCATGTCCTTGCAGCTGGGGGGGGTTAACAGGGATGTGCTGAAAGCAGCAAAGCCCTCGGAGAATATGAGTAATTCCTATTTTTGATCTAAAAACAATCCAATTTGCAGCTGAGCGTTTGATGTTCGGCCCCTCCACGTGCGTGTTTATTTTTAAAGGCCCTCAGTGTGCGAGAACTTCCACCTGGAGTTATTCCTTGGGCTGGGCTCGTGCCAGGGGAACAGCAATTCCCCCCTCGCCACCTTTTATGCTGGGTAAGGCAAATACAACAGGGGAAAAAGCAGTCAAAGAGGGGAAAAACCGGAGTATTCAAGCAACCAGCTCCGGGGAAGGGGAACAACAAGGCCCGTAACCGCCTTGGTGGTGTCACCAACCCCCCTGAGCTCCGGGGAAAGGGAACACCGAGGCCTTGCTGGTGTCACCAACCCCTCCTGGACACCGGGGTGAGGGGGAACGAGGAGGGGGCCCCTCCCCACCCACCTTTGACGTCACCCAGGCTGGTTTCGGTGAAGGCCTCGCCGAGGTCGATGAGGGTCCCCTCGGACTTGCACCGCGGGAGACCCCCCGAGTTGGCCGCCCGGATCCTCTGCGCCGCCATCTCCGGCCCCACCAGGCTCTAGGTGGCCATGGCCTCTCCAGGGACCCCCCTGTCACCTCAGGGAACCAGCCTGGGGGAGAGAGACAAACCCCAGCACGTTAGAAAGGCTCCGGGTGCCATCGCAGTGACAATGACCCAGGGACCCAGGAACACATCCCCGTGTTCTCCTTAAAACATCACAGAACATAACCTGGATGCTCCACAGCACTGTCTAAAAACCACCAAGGGCTTTGTGTAGCAAGGACAGCCTGGTCTTGCAGGATGCTGCTGCTGGAAACAACAACCCCATAGGAAGAGCTTTTTAGGGATATGTTGCTTCCAGAATCATAAATTGGTCCTTCTCCCTGTTTCCCAAGACCTTCCAGGGCACTTGCACATTGCTGTAATACATAATTATAAAGCCACCAGGCACTGGGTGCTGTGGGAACCCAGAGCAGTGGAGGACCCACAGGACTGGGATTTTTGCCTGTTTAAATGGGTCACCACTCTCTCCCACTGCAGCACTGGGATTTCCTGGGATGGGGATTGGCTCTTCCCGCTTGCTCCCTGCATCCCTCCCTCCCCAGCCAGGGACCAGGCAGAGAAACACCCCTTTTTGCACTAACCGCCCCGCTTCACTTGAGGAAAAATAAAAACACAGAGTTTTTTCCTCCTTTTTCCCTAGCAAAAACACTTCCAGAATCCCTGCGGAAGAGCAGAGAGGAAAATTCCCCCATTTCCCACAGGACACGCCGACATTCCGACCACCAACGTTGTGGCTGATGCAAGCGCGGGTAAGACCTTCCCTGACATCATCCCTGTCCTCTGGAACTTGGAGAGGGGCCAGGTGGATCAGGACAATCAGGGAATGCTGGAGCCTCTCTGCCAGCTGAAGGCAAGGCCGGAGCACAGCCTGAGCTGCGTGTTGCTACTCCAGGGATCCGGCATCATCCCGGTAATTCTGGCACCCAACATCCCTCCATCCCGCTCCCTCAAACTCCAGCCTGGTTGCAAAGCACCAACAGCTCTTAAAAACAGAGTTAGAACTAAAGTTATATCCAAATCCCTGCTTTATGAGGGGATTTTCACCCTCTCCTAACACTATTTTTCCTTTCTCCCCTTCCCATGCACTTTTTGCCTTTCCTCCCTTGAAAATTAGACCAAGCAGAAAACAACCCCCAACCCCAAATTCTTTAGGTGGGAATAGGGAGCCCCCGAAGGATTCAGTGCCCTTTTCTGGAATGCAGCAAGAGGAAATCTGCAGGGGAGAGCCTGAGCAGGAGATACTTTCTGGTTTGAAATGCTTCCCAAGCCATCCCCAGGGCTGGTATGCCGGGAATGTGGGAGCTGGAAGGGATGCACCAGGCTCCAGCCAGAAAAGGGAAGGGAGAACTGGTGTGCAAACATTTGCCCTTTGAGGAGAGCCTTGTTTGGGGGCCTGCTGGGAGCAAGGCAAGGGGAGAGGGTTTGGCAGGCAATAAATCCAGAGAAACCAGGCTTTGAGTCAAGACTGAGCTTAGCAGAGCTGGGCCAGGTAAGACAAAGGAATAACCAGCGGGAAGCAAGGAAGGGAGGGAAGATGCTCTCTTTGGCTGGCACAGTTCACCATCCACCCAGGATATGTTTCCGTGCTGTCCAGCAGAATTAATGCTATATTGATTATTTTCTATTAATTTTATATTTACATTAATTTTTACTTATATTATACAATGAATAAATTTTTATATTGAATTTTATATTAATCATTGCAGCTACAGTACTGACAACTCTCACCATCATATCCCCAAGTCTGGCACTTTCAGGGATGTTCCCTCTCTCTCTATTTATATAACTTCATGCTGAAGATCTCTGACAGATGTGGAGAAACAGCTGGAAAACCCCCCTCTACAGCCAATCCTGAAGCCTCAAAAGGCAACAGGAATCTACATAAAAATGAGGGATGATGGAAAGGCATTTCCTCTCCCAAGAGCAGCATCCTGGATGTGTCTGTTTGTCCTGGATGAAGTGATGCTCACACACATAAAGGGATGAGGGTGCCTAAAGGGATGGGGCCCCCCATGGCTGGACTTGGGATGGGAGCCCTGTTCTGGAGCTGGGGATGGCCCCAAAATGCTTCTGAATGCAGAGGTAGGACAGAAATCCAGGAGACTTTCAAATCCAGAGAATTGAAGGGGGTAAGTGGGGAGCAGGGTGAGGGGAAACGAGGCTGGAGGAGGCAAGATTTGTTTAGAAATCACTGAGACAATGGGCTGCAAACTCCCCTGAAAACACTTTAAATTTAGCCTGGGATTAAATATAGCCTAGGAAAAACCCAGCCCCACGTGTTTACCCAAAGCCATAAACAGCATCCGAAGGGAACGGCGGCGGGAAGGAAATCAGGGAGCAATCAGAGCAAGGACAGCGGCAGCATCTCCTCAGGCAGCACCAAAAACCTGCTTCTTACACCACTTTTCCCTCCCACAGGGGGAGAGGGAATGCTCCAGGGTAAAATCCAAGCCTTCCAGCCAGGAGGGCCTGCTGTGTGCTCCCCCCATCCCAACAAACCCAGCAGGCAGCAGCTGCCAGGAGCAGGCTCCACTGTGGGGACATGACTGTCCAACATCCTAACCAGGCTTTGCTGAGGCTTGGGGAAAGTTTAGGGAAGCCCTGAGGGGCACATTCCCATGGGGGCTGGCTGGCACCCCAGGAATCCTCACCAGTTTCCTGGGATGGATGGTGCTGCTTTGGGATTTAACTGTAAGTGAGGTTTCTGGGATGAGACAGATCTGGCTGTGCTTCTCTGGGAAAGGCTTCATCCAGTCCAGCTCCTGACCCTGCACAGGACCATCCTCAACAATCCCACCCTGTCCCTGAGGGTGTTGTCCAAACGCTCCTGGAGCTCTGGCAGCCTTGGGGCCGTGGCCAAACCCTGGGGAGCCTGTTCAGCGCCCAACTACCCTCTGGGGGAAGAACCTTTCCCTGAGATCAAACCTGACCCTGCCCTGGCACAGCTCCAGCCATTCCCTGTGATTCCACCAGGCACGGAGCACCAGCAGGTTTGGGCAGGTGTGGGGCTGGTGATGGTGAAGCATCTATTAAAAGAAAACTCACTAAAGCCTCTTAAATAACGAATCCAAAAGGTGTTTTTTCTGCAGCACTGGAATACATGGAATTCAGTTTCCCAGCAGCAGCATTTCCCGGTGTGAACTGGCATGGAAAAGGTTAAAAAGAACTTCTGCAAACTGTCTAGTATGACTTATCCCAGAAAAACAACCACATGCTTTCCCTTCCTGGCCCCACAGACCTCAGGGAGACCCCCTGGCACAGGGAGAGCCCCAGCAACGTTCCCTGCTCCATCCGTCACACCGAGCTGGTCCTGATGGGATTATGGCACAGACCCACCTCTCCCTGGACAAGGGGCTATAAATCAAGGTCATAACATGGCCATGCTGAGCAGGGCTGGCAGGGAAAAGGAATCCCGGGAAAAATACCCTTAATGGAAGCATTAAAACCCCACGTCCTCGAGCAAAGAAATGTCATAAAACAACGGGAACACCCAAAAGTGCAAACCCCGGTTCTGCTGCTGGTCCTCTCCAAGAAGCACTGACCAAAGGTCGGAGAGGATCCCTCTGGAAGCCTCAGTGATGGAAAACTCCTGAGTGCCAAGAATTTGGGCTGATAAGGCCGGGGAGGGCTGACAGGGCTGGGTGGTACCAAGCACGGGCAGGGCTGCAGATGGAGCCAGGCCAGGGCAGCACAGGGACCTTCCACCAGCAAAGCATTGATGCACATCCCTGCCCATCCCACACTTCCCAGCTCTCCCTGGAGTTGCGGGGTGCATCCCACCATGGCACACACGAATCCACGGGAAGCACCAGGAACAGGAGCCACCACAACACAGGACTGGTGAGCTCTGCCATGACCATTGTCCTGCACCCCTGTTCTCCCTGGGAAATGCATCCAAAAGCCCCTCAAGCCCGAAGCCTGCGGGACCAGCTCAGGAGAAATGTCCTACTCCACCCTTGGCCACAAACTGAAAGGTGGGAAGTGAAGAAAGAGCTTCCAATCAATCACTCCTTATCCTCTTCCCACTCCAGGGCCAAGATCAACTCCAGTCACTTGTTGCTCATGGCTTTTAAATTTGCTTTTTCTTTCTCCAAAGACAAGTTCCTGTGGCCCTCCCACAAACACAGAAGTGTTTTTGGAGGTTTCTTTTCAAAACAGGCCGTTTCTCTTGGATATGAGCAAATTTAAATTCTTGGGAGCTAAAAACCCATGTGATGGAGCCACAGCATGACCCACACAGAGCACGTTCATCCCACACAAGGAATTCACTGAACTCATTGCTTTTATCTCTCACAAAACCCCCAGTAACTCAAGCATCGTGGAAACAGATGCAGAAAAGACTCCTCCAAGCCCAGGGGACACCCCAGCCCTGAAGGAGCTGCTCAGGGAGTTGTGCCTGGGAACACCAACACACCGCAACGTGCAAAGGCCTTCAAGAGAACCTCAGAAAAAAGGGCCAAAAGGGGCCAAAATTTCTGCATTTTAGCAACCAGCATAATTCAGGAAGTTGGGTTTGCTCTGCAGATTCTTCACCCTCGAGAGCTCCCTCCTGCCCGTGACCCAGCCCAGCCCTGGCCATGGGGCTGGCATTGCTCAACACGCAGGAAATGATCCCACCAGCTCGGGTCTGCCTCCTTTCCCCACACTGACACCAACAGATCTTCCAGCACAGTGACAAACACAACATCCTCCAAACTGGGAATGCCCCCAGGGACCCAGCCAGGTCCTCTGCAGCCTCCTACAAGACTGGGATGGCTTCTGAAGCTGCTGGTGGCCTCGTGCCACCTGTGGTGGCCAGGAACACACCAGGACCTTGCAGCTCATCTCCTTGTGATCCTGGCTCTGCTCCAGAAGCTTTGTTGCCAGAGATGGGTGGGGAGGGGCTGGTTGCTCTTGGTTTTTTCCCCCTAGAAGCCTGTCCCAAGCCTTCTGCCAGCAATGCCTCACATCCCAGTGATTCCCGACCTCGTCGCCTTTCCCTTATCTCCTCCTCCTGCTCCAGGGCTTGTGTTTGCAAAGCCAACGCTTTCATCTTCGAAAGAAAAACCCACCCAAGCCATGGGAAGATAAACCACCCCTTAAGACAACACCAAACACGAGCTCTTTGTACCAGAGGGAACACGGCGGTGTGAACTCACGCACGTCCCGGCACACGCCTCTTTAGTCCCTTTTCCAGCAAACAAGAAGGGATTTGTGGGAACACCAGGACCTCCCAGCCCTCCTGCAGTGCTCTCAGGGCTTTGCTTTGGACCCCATTCCCACCACTGGACCTCATTCCCACCGTCCCTGCTCAGGCATCACAGCGGAGCCTGGCCCATTCCAGGCTGTCCCCTCCACTCCCAGCCAAGCCCTAGGGAAAAATCCTGCCCTCCAGCTTAAACTTGGTTCAGCTCCTGAGCCTGGCTCCTGCTGCCAGGCGAGTTCAAGCCATGCATGGCAGGTTTGATGGAGGAGAGGGAGAAGGGAGGGGAAAAAAAGTCATTATGGCCCTGGTGTCCATCATGGCCTTCCTGGTGGGAATGTCACCCCTGTGAGCAGAGCAGGAAGGACGGGAAAGTTTCCTTTTATAGCAAGGACTTTGGAGCACAAGTCCTGCTGGACATCCATCACCAGGGAGACTCAAATATAGGCCAGCCTTAGGGGTGGGAGGGGAAGAGAGGGCTTTCCCTGCAAGATCTCCAAGCACTCCCTGGATTTGGTCACCCGTGTCCCACACAGTCAGCCCCAAGAAACCACCACGGAGCACAGC